CAGTCACAGCGACAGTCAGAGCGACGCCGGCCGCACCAAAAGGACAGGGTCGAGCTCAACGCATGGCTTGGCGATGTTGAGCCAGATGAGGTTGACGAGCCGGTATGGGAATGGAAAAAGCTTATGATTTGGGCGTTTGGTGGATTGGCCGGGTTACTGCTGTTGAGCTACCTTATTTCCTCCGCCATGGTGGCCACGCCGTTCCCCGAATCAGCCGTGCGTACGCCTGGATTGGTGAAGGCTGTGGGCGCTCGAGTCAGTCACACATATGAGAAGATTACCGAGTTCATCCTCCCCCCCACCGAGCACAAACTCACCGAGGCTGAATTGGCTCAAGCGTATAAGAACAACGGCGACGACAACCTCTTGTGGGGCCGCATGTCCAACATCGACAAGCGACACACGCAGCGCTTGGAGGATGTTCGTGCAGATATGCGCACGACAATTGAGGAGCTCAAGCAGGAGCTTCCTGAAGTCATGATTGTTCGCCGTAATGAGGATGGCACTTCTGAAATCACGGATGACTTCTGGATGGCACTGACTGGCAAGACACGTTCAAGCATGGGCGACAAAGAGTGGGCGCGCTACATTGAACAGACCAAGACCAAGCTCGGCGAGCTCTTCGACACCACGGCCCAGCAGGAACGCAGCCACACTGAGAGCTGGCCACAGGCCGTCTCTCGTGATGAGTTCGTCACCTTCATGGAGCGCCGCTACGAGAACTTAACTGCTCAAGTCGACAAGAAGATCGACGAAGCCATCCGAGCCCAGAGCGCTCAGTTCAAGACGATGGTGCAAGCAGAGGCCCGAAAGACCATGATGGACCAAATCCGACTCAACTCTCTTGCGCAAGCCAACCTTGTCGCAAATTACGAACTCCACCTCACCAAACCTAACTACTTTTCTCCTGGTCTAGGCGCCGTTGTCGATCCTGACATGTCTTCCATCACATACAACGACCGAGGTGGTCGACTCCACGGACTTATACGCCGCTGGGCTTTCGTTCCTAATCGCAACCCACCTATGGCAGCGCTGACAAAGTGGGAAGAGCCAGGCGACTGCTGGTGCTCTGCTGGTCAAGCGCCCGTTTCAAGCGGCCAGGCCCAACTCACTGTCAAGATCCCACGTCCTGTCATCCCCAAGCAGGTCACTATCGAACATGTCCCCATGAGCATGATGCCAGCGCGCAACATCTCCAACGCGCCCCGCGACATCGAGCTCTGGGTCCAGACAGACGCGCCCATTAACCCCTACTACTCCCACCGCCAGGTTACCTGCCGCGACCCACCACCACCCAGCTTCGATGGCTCCGCCTGGAAATGCCTCGGATCCTTTAAATACAACATCCACGCGTCCAACCACCTCCAGACGTTCGACCTCGCTGGCGAGCCGTCCGAACCTGTTTCGAAGGCCATGGTACGTGTGACTAGTAATTGGGGTGCGAGCCACACATGCCTGTACCAGGTCAGGCTACACGGGACGGACGCAGAGAAGGACTACGAGTACCCTGTGAGCCTAATGGATTAGGCTCTCGTAATAGCTGGGATGATGTCGTAATGTAGCATGACGGCGTTTATATTGTTTTCTGCAGGATACCTTCGGGTTTTTACGATTGTGTTTGTATACCCAGGATAGTTACAGAGCATTAGGAATTGAAATTTAACTTGACGATTATGAAGTTTGATGGCTACAGTGACTTTTCGAATGAGATTTTTGTATACCTTGGCTCATTGAAGATAGACTGGGTGGACTGAGCTGACTTTGGGGTTACGTTGTTCATGTATTGAGTGCGACTGGCTCACTTTTGTGGCATGCTATCTACTTCGAAACACCCAATGTATCCGCTAGACCCTACTATAGGGAGCACCAACAATTCTTTCTAGACTGTCGTATGCCATCAGGCCCATCTATCGCACAACACCTCCCTTGAGAGTGGGAATGCTACACAGACCGTCCTTGGTCCTCAGCTTAGCTACACCCGTCTTCTTGTCTGCGCCCTCGCCGCTCAATTGTGGTACGACGCCAACATCGAAGCCAACCTCTAGACCATCTGTTGTAGTGAAGCCTGGCTGGATCATCTCCCAGACCTTCTTCTTGGGGTTGAGCACCGGCTCGGGCTCGCCTTCCCAGCCCTCGAAGTAGACGCGGTCGCCGGCCTTGCTCTCCTTGGGGGGATCTACCAGCTCGACTGGTCCCTTGTGGCTGTCCTCACCCTCGGTAACGCGTGGTGACGCAGCGAGCACCATCGCACAGCTCTTGACACCGCGCATAGTGACGGGCTTCAGGTTGCACACTGCGACGATCTTGCGGTTCTGCATCTCAGAAAGGGGAATCAGGCCATTGAGACCCGAACATACGGTGCGCACGACCTGACCTTCGTACTCTGAGGTGTTATCTGTGCCGGGAGCGTCGCCGCATGCGATTGTGGATACGTAGAGCGAGTCGGCGTTGGGGTGGGTCTCGGCCTTGAGGATGTGGCCTACGCGGAGGTCGATGAGGGCGGGAGAGAGGGGCTTCTCGACTGGCGCACTGCGTGTTGTTAGATGGTGTGTAGACGCAGGATAGATACACGACTTACGCTTTCTGGGGCTTGGGCTGCTTCTCTTTCTTTTCCTTCTTTTTCTTTTCAGTAGGCGCACCCTCTGGAACACCGCCAGCTGAGCCACCCGCTGCGTTGCCGACGACTGCAGATGCTACAGCGGAGCCAGCGGCCTCAGCCTTGCCCTTTGCCTTCTCCGCCTTGCTCTTGCCTCCTTGGCCTCCTTGTGCAGCTTGTCCTTGGTCGCCGGTCAGAGTTGTAGCAGTAGCACCAGATGCGGCGGCATTGGCAGCAGCAGCCTCCTTCTCCTTCTTCTTGCGCTCCTTCTCGGCCTTTGCGTCTACTGGCTTAATCTTGAAGACGACGTTGTCCTGGTCAATGTTGACCTTGTCGTCCAGCTTCAGGCCGAAGACAGGCGAGTTCTGGACAAAGTCGACATGACGGACGATGTGGTGGTATCCTTGCTCTCCAGTCCTCTCCTCAGCACTCCATTTCGAGACTACTGGTGCGAGCTTCTGGTAGAGGGCGATGTCTGCGACGGAGGGCTTTGCGCCGAGGACGGTGGTTCGGCTCGAGAGGTGTGTGTTGAGTGACGACAGGCGCTCGGAGGCTTTGGCGGCATCCTCAGAGGAAGAGGCGATGTGGGAGGCAGTGATCAGCCATTGACTGAGTTCGGTCTTCTCGGCGTCGGTGTAGGTGACTTCGGGGTAGAGGGCCTGCGAGGCCTTGACAGCGTCCGTCTCGTCGGCGGCGTTGTTGGGCGCGTGCGTCTTGAGGAAGGTGACCAGGGTCTCGTCGATTGTGGTCATGGTGGGCAGTGGTGCAAAGGTTCGCTGGAAAAAGTTGAGGGCAAGTGGCTGTAGTGGGGTAAAGAAATCCGCCGTAAAGCTACTGGGCGCAGTGACTATGGATCTGCGGGGATGTGTAGGCGGTATGAAGGATGCTCCAGCCTGGCAATATCTGGTCCGTGGTAATTGGGGTCGTCCGATGTGTAATATGCGAGAAAAGGGCGTAGCGGAGGGACAACGGCGAAGATGCATGATTCACGTGAGTCAAATTCAGGTCCTTCGTCACCGCGCGGGGCTCAGAAGCTTCCGCCATGTCGCCGCACAGGCCATCGCGTCTCCCAAGTCGCGTGTCCATCGCATGCATCGCGTCGAGTGCACCTCAAGATGATGCTGTTATGCCGAGGGTTGAGATGCTTCGTGTTATGAACTACTCTCCACGCGTAGATCGTGCTTGATCGTTTCTCGTTCATGCCGCCCGCAGTCCTTCGAGGCCTCAGCATGCGAAAGGAAGAGCCAAACCCCTCAATGTTCTAAGCAGACGATGCTGTAGCCTATGGTATGTCTGTGGAAGGCAAAGAGAGTTTGGATGACGAGTCGTTTGCTGCCTGCGCCCCACGTCTACCTAGGTACAACATGTCGAGCTCTCCTTCCCCGCAACACCATTTTTACACAGCATAGCCATGGCGTCCGAATCGTCACCAGATGTGCCCAAGGGCAGGAAGAGGTTCATTCCTCTGGGTAGGACATTTCCACATACACTGCATGCATGCCAGCTAACGCGCGACAGAAAACAATCCCGATGTCATGTCCGCTCTCGTCCACAAGCTCGGTCTGTCGGAGAAGCTTGCATTCCACGATGTCTTTAGTATAGACGAGCCCGAACTACTTGCTTTCGTACCTCGACCTGCTCACGCCCTCCTCCTCGTCTTCCCCGTCAGCAAGACATACGAGACATTCCGCATGCAGGAAGACAAGGACAAGGCGGAATACCAGGGACATGGCCCAGAGGAGGAGGTCATCTGGTATAAGCAGACTATTGGAAATGCTTGTGGTCTAATCGGATTACTCCACGGTGTCTCCAACGGTTCCGCCCGTGCACACATCAGTCAGTAGCCGCCGTGTTCCGAGACAGCCATCAGACATGCTGACAAAAGCCTTAGAACCCGACTCGAATCTGGCCAAGCTAGTCAACGACGCGATACCCCTCAAACCTGTCCAACGAGCCGACCTCCTCTACGAATCTGAAGCTCTCGAGAGCGCACATCAGAGCGCTGCATCGGGTGGTGATACTGCTGCGCCTGAGGCCGATTCCGACGTCGACCTACACTACGTTTGCTTTATCAAGTCGGACAAGAACCATCTGTGGGAGCTTGACGGTCGGCGGAAAGGTCCTCTTGATCGCGGTGCGCTGGGTCCAGACGAGGATGTCCTGAGCGAAAAGGCTCTTGACCTGGGCGTACGTAGCTTCCTCAAGCGCGAGGCTGAGGCCGGCGGGGGCGAGTTGCGTTTCAGTCTGATCACGCTCGCCGAGTCGTTCTAGGAGGATAACGAGAGGAGGGAATCCCGACAATTCGCTGAAATGTCTTGCGATGAATTCTAAGGTACAAAGCTGCATGGACTGTAGCATGATGTATACACTAGTCTATACTACTTCAAGGAGTATATTACTCTCCTCAGAAGCCATCCACCTTGACTTCTCGTTCCTCCTTGAGCGGTAGATACACCTTCTCCCATAGATCACTCCTCTCGCCAAGATGATACGTCAAGCTCACATCCTGCATACCTGGAGGTGATGAGGAAGAAGAAGCCATGGTTTCGAGTTGTGAGATGATGTTCTCTAGACCCAATGCCTTCCCGGTAGCTTGCGTACTGCCAGCTTCCAGCGAGACATGGACGATGTGAATGTGGAAGTGATAGTATGTCGGTTGATCTACACATCGGTTAGCAACTCTTCACAACAATCTTCCCGGTATTAACTTACAGTGCACGTAAAGCTTCAACTCGTCCCTCTCAAGCTCCGGATAAAGCTTCACAGTTGCTTCAAGCATCTTCTCCCGCATATGCTTCACCCATTCCGTCATATTCTTCTTCAAGTCCCTCACACTCCAGATATCCCTTCGCTCCACGATGCCGAGCAAGTGCAGACTGCCCATCGTCTTACGGTCCCAGTTGAGATCAGGCAAAAGCAAGAAGCCCTCCTCACCCGACTCACGGTAGATAACATCCTCTTGTTCAGTCCGGCCCTCAATGATGTTGAATACCCAGTTCAACGCGCCCTTTTCGCGCTGAGCCTGCATGTACGGCCTCACATACTTTTCGTAAATCTCTGGCGTCTCGGTGACGACCCTTAAGCGCTGTTGCTCGTACTTCTTGACGTGCTTCTCTGTACAAGGATAGATTAGGTTCAATTTGAAGTCCGGAGGTGGGTTCTCGTCGCTAGGGTTGGAGTTTGCGAGGAACCACGCGTAGATGTCATTGGCACCGAGGTTCTTGATGTTACGGAGCGAGGTGGAGAAGCTGTTCAGAATTTCAGGGTTCGTATCGAAGGCAGCGCGCTCAGCGAGTAGGAGACCGGGTTTGGAGTCTATGGTGCCCAGAAGGGAGATGCGACGGCCAGCTTGGTCGGAATTCAAGAGGCGGGTCAGATGGAATCTGGGGATTAGAGCTTCCGCGTGGGCGGCGACATCTGGGGGTGTCGTGGAAGTCATTGTTGGCTATAGGTTGTGAAGTACAATTTCAGCACTAAAGTCATAGTCAGTAAGACTGAACACCTAACAAACATGGCATATTCTATGTATGAGTCAAGCGTCCTCGTCGCGGACTTTCACGCCTACTCAGGTATACGCGTTCGTTCTAACAAGATTGACGATCTTGACAAGTCTAGGAATTTTGAACTTACCAGAAAAAGGTAGTATAGTCCTAAGAACACATGCAAAGTATCCCGCGGTTTCGGCACGATGTGGGGGTGGAGATTGATGCGAGGTCACGTGTCTGCGCGATCTCGCGTATCACTGCAGCAACCAGGGAAGGCGCCCCGATCGACGCCAAGCAAATCGAATGAGGTCACTGAACCCAACCACCCCATCATAGCACGCAACCATCACGACGTCAAACACCTAATAATCACCAAATATCGATCGCAAATACATCAATATGGCACCCAAACGCAAAGCATCGGGCCCAGCGGCCAAATCGCAACAGTCGACTCTCGCATTCCATGGCACGACGAACAGGGTCACAAAGTCCGGCGTAAAAGCACAAGGCGCAAAGAAGAATCTCCTCGAAGCGAAGCTAAAAGACGTCAAGCCGGAGACAATCGACATCTCAGATACCGAGCCGACAACGACGGAAGCTGCGATCATCGAGCAAACAGAACAGGAGGTCAAGGCGCAGGAGGTTGAGAGTACACCAGAGGAGGACCAAGCACGGCGCATATCAGATGCAGCGATCAAGAAGTACTGGACCGCGAAGGAGAAGCAAAGGCGCGCACCAAGGGCGCACCAGGGGGCTCTAAGCTTGCACGAGAAGATCCTCAGGGAGTTCGACATGAGCGCGCACTATGGCGTAAGTTTACTACCCAGCACCCTGCCTTCAGAGCTCCCCCACGTCTTGGTGCACCACTAACACGATTTGCGCTATGTAGCCATGCACCGGAATCGCTCGGTTGAAGCGCTGGAAGCGAGCGCAACGGCTCGATCTCGACCCGCCGATCGAAGTACTCGCGGTCTTGTTGAGGGAGCAGGACGCGGGCGATAAGGACAGGATAGCTGTCCAGCGCTCCATCGTCGATGATATACTGAACTCAAAAGCCGAGCTTGATGTATGAGGATAGGTCTTGGCTTGCGGAGCGCGGATTGCGGGATGGACCCTGTCGGAGTGATACCTTTCCATTATATCTGTAACGTACGAGGATTTGGATACTGAGCTTATGCGAGGAGTTGGGCGTCATGATTGAACGGGATACAACGGTCGTGTATGTATAGCAAGAGGAGTATCGGAAGGCACGCGAGCAGTCACCACCATGTAGACCGGCTGCAGGTTAGCAACCCAACCCAAAAGATCTTACACGAATCCGCTTCACATGTTATGATAACCGATGTCTAGAGCTTCGCGACAGGATGCGCTCCAGAACGTTTTTCTCATCGTGCGTCAGCATGCATCGGGGCTTACGACTCAAATACTTGGGCAGACATAGTAGGCTCGGATCTAGTAAACGAACACAGACACCTGGTCCTGGTCTGCCTCCCTTGCAAACCGATAAGAAGCGACAACGCAATGCGGGGTTATGAGGTCGACTAAACAGTGTGGCCTCGTAAATCGTGTGTAAATAGTACGTCCAAAGCGCATGCAGTCTGCAGCTGGTCGTTTGACAGCCATGAGGAGGCTCCAGACTCTAGTCTCGTCGGCGGCTCCAGAGCGCCAAAAGACGCGGGGTTGATCGGCAATCGCTCGATGAAGCTCCAGACTTCAAGCTCGCGTGTTGGGTGGCAATTGCTGAGCTGCACGCCAGTGGGGCATGATGCTGGATCCGCATGCGAATGGCACACTAACTGTCAGCCCGATTCCACGCTGCCGGCGACGTCCTTGTTAGCGGGACGTGAGCTCTATAGTGGCTAGTTTAGCATGCACACTGCGTGCCCTCATATCTCCGCACGCATCCTTGCCCAGTCTGCCAGACCCACCCACTGGCATCCTTATCGCCCTTGGACAACTGCGCCGTGATGCTGCCGAATCCCAGCGGCTGTCATGGAGCAGGAACAGCTTCTGTGCATGCCCCGTGTGCGGTGTCGTCTACACGGGCCAACGATTGCAGAGCTGTCGGAGCAGGCATTGCATGGTGGCGCGCACCACGAAGCTGGGTTGGGTGAATTAAAACGGCGCCTTGTCGAATGCTGGGAAAGTCAGATAGCGGGGAACCACTAGAGACGCCCATATCCCTCGTCGTGGCTACAACCTCCATCGACGCCCCTCGCCCCTCCATGTTTTCTTCTTTCTTCTCGACTTAATTCAGTTCAATCCATTCCCCGCAATTCTTCACTTCACCTGTCCTCACATTATGTTCACCGTCGCGCTGTAGGTCGTACCTTCCTGCAAAGGGTCGCAACTTCTCGACGGCCCTCGTGCTTACCTCTTTGACCCCGGCTGTTGATCAACTCAACAACTAACGTGCGCCGTCTCCCCAAACTTTCATCGCGGTAGGTCCCACAGCTCGAGGCATAAGACGCCCTTCGGTCCCGTGTACTGATCATTGCGCGACAGATCACTCCTGTCACTCCACTCTGTCGTGATACGCACGCTCCTGCTGTACATTGGTGGTCCTCTGACCCCTCCGCTGCATCTCTTTGATTGGGAAGGGACCATCACCATTAGCCAGCCTATTGCTATTGCAAGGAGCCTGCCCAATTGATCCCTCGCCCACCACAGGCCCTTCACACGTTGCGTGCCTTCGACCACATTCTAATCCCCAAGCCTTGGACTTGTCAACATGGCTGCTGCTGTCGCCAGATATCCTTCTATGCCCGGTCGTTCTTCGACACCTCCACCGCACCTGTCGCTCAACACCTCTTCTCGTGGTACGCCTACTGCCATTCCCAACAAGCACATCCCGGAGTGCTCTCCTGGTGGTCTCCCTGCAACTCCCCCAGCATCGCCCCCGCGCCAGGACAGTCTTATTGAAACCTCTTCAATCACATACCCGCCAGATGCATACTGTTCACTCTACTCGGATGACCCGCCCGTGTACACTATCACCGCGGATCGCATGGCGGAGGCCCTAGAGCACATTGCAACGCAGCCGCTTCCGAACCCCGACCAAGTCTTTCCGTGGATGCATGGTCTTCACTCCGAGAATCAGATACAGCTTGCTTTCTTCTCTTCTCGTCGCAGAAGCGGTCGAAAAGTTCCTAGATGCATTCGCAGTATTACTGTCGTCAAGACCGGCGGGAACCTGTCAGCTTCCAAGCTCAAGGGCGCAATTGCACCGGATGAGCTACTGGAATCGGTGTCTTCTGATACACCCAGGTTCATTGAATGTGACCCCAAGGATGGTTTTTCTGTGCGCAACTTCCAGATCCAGGCCTGCAAACTGGCTATGGTGTCAGACATCATAGTATACGGCGACCACAAAACCAAGCCGCAAGACACGATTGCGCTTGCTCAGAAGATTTCCAGGGCGCAGAGGCAGTATGAAGCAAGGAACGGATTTCCGCATTGCCTGTTCAACACCTTCATGCTCTCAGGTACGATCAGTGACTGCTGTAAAGTGTACAAAACTAATAAGCTCAGATCCCTTTGCATCCATGCAGGAGAAGTACCCAAAGCTGGTTGCTATCAATTCTACGGGCGATATGACAGGAGAGATTGCCGATTTCTGTAAGTTGGTATGCGATAGAAGATGACTCACCGCTGACATGAACATACAGTCTATTGGGAACGATACGAGATGAGTGCGATGTCTAAAGCAACTGAGATCAGCAACAACGTTTTCCTGGGACCAACGCCTGACCAGGCACTACATCCGGATTGCGTGGGCGAAGAAGGCTACGATATGCTGATTGAGGCGACCGATCTTGCGCATGTACCCGAATCGCGCTCGCTCCGAGCTCTCCGCATGGGTCTGGAACGAGTTCACCGCAAGTCTACCCTGCACATGGAATTTCCCTCATCCGGAAGCATCATGCCTCCTACATGGGCGCATGGCGAAGTTGACGGCCTGATGGAAATGTGCAAATGGATGTACGAGCTGGCGAACCCACAAGAGGTCCGGCGGTCGAAGCGAAGACGGGAAGAAGAAGACGAAGCTATAGAGATGGACGACATTGCTGCGCCACGCAAATTTTTGATACACTGCACAGATGGCTATACCGAGACGACACTTCTGGCCTTGGCTTACTTCATGTATGCAGAAGGTCTACCTGTTCACGATGCTTGGATTCAAATGCATCGCGACAAAGGCCGCAACTTCTTCGCATACCCTTCAGATGTTGCTCTTCTAACAGCGATTCAACCTCGAATCCTTCAAGACTCTCCTCGCTTCAACCAGAGTGTTCTGAATCTTTCCGAACCACGCTGGCTTTCGAAGCTCGACGGCAGTCTGCCCAGTCGGATCTTGCCTTACATGTACCTCGGCAACCTTGGACACGCTAACAACCCGGAGCTCCTCCGCGCTATGGGCATTAACCGCATCCTGAGTGTTGGAGAACCGCTTTCTTGGCCCGAAGACGTCAAGAAGAAGCTCGACTGGCCTGCCGAGAACTTCCTGATGGTCGACCGAGTTCAGGACAATGGCGTAGATCCTCTCTGGGGCGAGTTTGAGCGTTGCCTGAAATTCATTGGTGAGTGGCATGACTCCACGCTGAGACTCGCATAACTGACCTTTTGTAGAAGCAGGCAAGAAAGAGGGAGGCGCTACTTTAGTGCATTGCCGTGTCGGCGTGTCGCGTTCTGCAACAATTTGTATTGCTGAAGTCATGAACGAGATGGGCCTATCCTTCCCTCGTGCCTAGTAAGTAATGAGCTGTCTTCCATTTGACCCAGACTAACTTAGTTCCAGCTGCTTTGTTCGGGCACGACGACTTAATGTTATAATTCAACCACACCTTCGATTCACTTACGAACTTCTTAAGTGGGAAGAGTACCAGCGTCAACGACGCAATGAGCCTCTTCGCCGCGACCTGGAGTGGGCAACAGTTGCGCGCGAAATCGCGCT